GTCCATCCGTGGTGGGCCTGGTCCATCCGTGGTGAGGTCAGTCCATCCATGGTGGGGTTCCCTGGTCTTCAATGGAGTCCCCCCAACCGTGATGAGGTCCATTGTGGGTTGGTGGGGTCAATCCACCCCTGCCGACGTTGGTGGAGCTGCAGTAGGGTTCATCTTCTCTTGATGGCTTCACCTTCTTCATGGTGGGCTCAGATGGTTCTCGTTGGGTTCCTTGGAAGGGGGATCGGTGGGGTTGGTGGATCTAGGGGAGGGGTTTTGATAGGTCCACGATGGGAGGAGGAGGTCTCAGGTCTCCCCTGTTGTCTCCTGGATCCATGACAAGTAGTTGTAGACCTCGCTGTAGACCCCAGGCTTCCCCGCTTGCCCGCAGGGGTGGTCACCCCAGGAGACGATGCCTTGGAGAACCCCGTTGCAGATGAGGGGACCTCCTGAGTCACCCTGGGGGACAGGAAAAAAAACCAAAAGGACCACGAGAGGACCTCGACCACAGGAGGTCACCGAGGTGGAGGTGGCGGTGGTCGGGAGGGGAGACGTGGTCATGGGTGGGAGATGGTTGGTCTTGGGATGTAGAGATACGGGAGGAGGTGGTCAGGGAAGGGTGGGGTGGCCTGAGGAGATGCGGTCGTGGGAGACGTGGGTCGTGGTCTTGAAGGGCGGGGGATCAAAGGGACGTGGTTACGGGTGGTGGCAATGGGGCGTGGGGACAAGGTCAGGTCTCGAAGGGGAGGGAGGACCCAAGGGAGGTGGCTGTGGGGTGGTGGGTACGTAGGGATGGAGGGGTGCGGGTGTGGCCGCGCTTCGGAGGTCAAGGGGGACCGGAGGGACGGTGGGTGTGGGACGTGGGGGTGAGGTGGTGGGACACGAGGTGGTGGGACACGGGGACGTGGTGGGGGGACACGGGGATGAGGTGGTGGGACATGGAGATGAGGTGGTGGGACACAGGAATGAGATGGTGGGACATGAGAAGAGGTCGTGGGACAGGGGGACATGGTGGTGGGACACGGGGATGAGGTGGTGGGACACGAGGAGAGGTGGTGGGACCTGGGGACGGGGGGAT